CCGCCCCCCCCCCCAAGCCCCAATTCATATAATACTTTGTTTCTCTGCAGTAAATTCTTTACCTACTTTTTTTTCTATTGAGATACAATTCACTTATTATAAATTTCACCCTTATAGTGTATATTTCAGTGGTTTTAGTATATTCATAAGGTGGTACAACCATCATCTCTATCTACTGCCAGAGATTTTCATCACCCCCAAAAGAATATGCTCCTGTACTCAGTCACTCCTCATTCTCTCCTCCCTTTCAGGCCTAGGCAACCACTACTGTATTTTATATCTCTATGGATTTGACTATTCTGGACACTTGGCATGCATGGAATCATACAGTATATGGCCTATTGTGTCTTGGCTTCTTTCACTAAATATAATGTTTTCAGAGTTCATATTGTAGCATGTCTCAGTACATCATTCCTTTTGTTTACAAATACTATTTTAGTGTATGGATATGCTACATTTTGCTTATGCATTCACTAGTTGATGGACATTTGGTTTGTTTTCACTTTTTGACTATTATGAATAAAGCTGCTATAAGCTTTCATTTGTAAGTTTTTGAGTGATAAGTTTTCATTTCTTTTGGGTATAATTCTAGGCCTAGAATCACTAGGTCATAAGGTAATTCTGTGTTTGAGTAATTAACAAACTATTTTCCAAAGGAGCTGCACAGTATACCTTCCTACTGGCAATGAATGAGAATTCCAGTTTCTCTACATCCTCACCAACATGTTATTTATTGTCTTCTTGATTATAACCATCTTGGTGGGTGTGAAGGTAGATCTCGTTGTGCTTTCAATTTTCATTTCTCTAATGACTAATGATGTTGAACATCGTTTCCTGTGGTTATTGGCCATTTATGTATCTTCTTTCAAGAAATATCTGTTCACATTGTTTGCCCATTTTTGAGTTGGGTTATTTGTCCTTCTGTTATTGAGTTGTAAGAGTTCTTTGGATATTAGACACTATTGTTTTCACTTTCTTGATGGCTTTTTTTAAAGTACAAAAGTTTTAATTTTGATGAAGTCCAATTTATCTGTTTTTTTCTTTTGTTGTACTTTTGGTGTCTAAGAAAGCACTGCCTAATCCATGGTCACTTGTCATAAAAGACTTTTCTTTCCTCATTGATTGGTCTTGGCAGAATTATTGAAAAACAGTTGATTATAGACAGATGAGTTTATTTCTGGGTTCTTCATTCTATTCCATTCCTTTATATGTCTGCCCTTATGCCAGCACCACACCATCTTGATTACTGTAGCTTTGTAGTAAATATTGTGAAATTGTGAGTTCTTTAACTCTATTTTATGTTCTTTTTCAAGATTGTTTTGGCTGTTTTGAGTCACTTGCAAATATGTCCCTATGAATTCTAGAATCAGCTTGCCGATTTCGGTCCAAAAAAAGCCAATGGGGATTTTAATAGGGATTGATCTGTAGATCAGTTTTGGGGGTAGCCATCTCAAAAATATTAAAAATTTCAGTCCATGAACATGGGACATCTTTTCACTTATGTAGGTCTTTAATTTTCTTTCAGTGATATCTTACAGTTTTTAGTCTACAAGTCTTGCACTTTATTAAATTTGTTCC